GGCTCTCACAGTGGTCAGTGCCTGAGATGGCTCTCACAGTGGTCAGTGCCCCTGAGACGGCTCTCACAATGGTGCAGTGCCCCTGAGACGGCTCTCACAGTGGTCAGTGCCTGAGACGGCTCTCACAGTGGTCAGTGCCCCTGAGACAGCTCTCACAGTGGTCAGTGCCCCTGAGACAGCTCTCACAGTGGTCAGTGCCTGAGACAGCTCTCACAGTGGTCAGTGCCTGAGATGGCTCTCACAGTGGTCAGTGCCTGAGACGGCTCTCACAGTGGTCAGTGCCTGAGACGGCTCTCACAGTGGTCAGTGCCCCTGAGACGGCTCTCACAGTGGTCAGTGCCCCTGAGATGGCTCTCACAGTGGTCAGTGTCCCTGAGACGGCTCTCACAGTGGTCAGTGCCCCTGAGACGGCTCTCACAGTGGTCAGTGCCCCTGAGACGGCTCTCACAGTGGTCAGTGCCTGAGACGGCTCTCACAGTGGTCAGTGTCCCTGAGACGGCTCTCACAGTGGTCAGTGTCCCTGAGACAGCTCTCACAGTGGTCAGTGCCCCTGAGACAGCTCTCACAGTGGTCAGTGCCCCTGAGATGGCTCTCACAGTGGTCAGTGCCCCTGAGACGGCTCTCTCTGGCCTCCACCCCCACAACAGTGCATGTTTGCACATTTATCTGCTGCTGCTTCTGTGTCTTTGGGTGAAAAGCTGTTTTCTACTCCATAGGATTTCTTTGGAAGCATTCCAAAGCCAAGGCTCTGCTTGTCCCCACCTGCTCCCTGAGAGGCTGTCCTGGGACCATGGGCACCTAACTCATCTACCAGTGTGCAGTTTTACCTACACTTCTCCACTGATAAGGAAGACAAACCTCTTTATGCTTGCACTTTGGTGAACAATCTTGTTTTGTTTTCCATATGGAACACTTTATGACTTTCCAGTCATCTCTGTGCAGGGACTATGCTCATCTTTCCTGGATTGTTCCAATTTTGATATATATGCTGTTGAACAAGCACCTATTCTGTTTCCCTAACTATAACATCTTGCTACGTAGCCCAGGCTGTCTGGGAAGTTACAATCTTCCTGCTTCAGCATCCTGAGTAGCGAGGTCTAAGAAAGTATGAACCATCGTGCCTGGCTCAGCCCAGGCCTCCGGGGACACTCCAGCAACTCACAAGGCCCAGCTAGACTGTTGGGCTCATGCGGGTAGGTGGCAGGGCTGGGGTCAACTCACCTTTCTGATCTGTTCCAGCCTGTCGTCATCTTCAAGGAAGAAGGTCAGATACATGAAGGACACGTCTACGTCACAGTTGCCTCCAAACTGCCTGTGCTCCTCCACAGTGTCTCTTCCTCCAGAAAAGGCATGCTTGTTGACCTGCACCAGCGCAGAGGCCAGTCAGAGTCCCATGCTGTCCCTGGACATTGGTCAGGGCCCACAGGATGGTGGTTATACTAGTGACTCATGGCGAGGAGCAGGAGAGCAAGTGTTTGACCCCATCCCCCATTGCTCAGAGTCACAGAACAGTCTGGAATCCAAAGTAGACTGGGCTAAGATGTAGGGAAGAGCCAAAAGGTTCTTCAGAGTCAGTGGCCAACAGAGAGGATGGCAGTTGGGGCTGTATCCATTGGTGGCAGGAAAGTAGCACTCAACCCCATATGCACGTGAGCCAACACAGCTGAGGGAAGCTCCACTCTCAACATGAGGTGGCAGGAAAGGCCTGTAGGAAGTTCTGCACCCTGAAACACTTGATGTGTCAGATGGTTAAGAAAGCCCCAGACGGGCTGAAGAGATGACTCAGTGGTTAAGAGCACTGGCTACAATTCCAGAGGACCTGGGTTTAATTCCAGTACCCACACAGCAGCTCACAACTGTCTGTAACTCCTGTTCCAGGGGGATCTGACACCCTCATACAGATGTACATGTAATCAAAACACCAATGTACATAAAATACAAACAAACAAATAAATAAAGCCCCAGATGGGCTTGGAGAGGTGGCTGAGTCTTTAAGAGCACTGGCTGCTCTTCTAGGGAACCCGAGTTTAATCACCAGCACCCACTACTGTCTGTAGCTCCAGTACCAGAGGATCTGATGCCCCTGGCTGGCCCTGCAGACACTAGGCACTCGTGTGACGCACAGATATACATGTAAAACAAAGAGCACAGGAAAACAACAAAGTGACAGGCACGCCAATACACAGGCGGCTGAGGCAGGAGGATTGCTTGAGTTCAGGAGTTCCAAGCCAGCCTGGCAACACAAAGAAACACTATCTCCAAGCAAACAGAAGAACTAATGAGAAGAGCTGGATGTAGTGTGGTAAACCTTTAACCTTGGCCTCAGGAGGCCTCTCAGGTGAATCCCTGGTATCTGAGGCCAGCCTGGGCTACAAGGTGAGATCCTGTCTCAGAAAAGTAAGAAGTAAGTAAGTAAGTGGATGGATGGATGGATGGATGGATGGGTAGATGGGTGGATGGATGGATGGACGGATGGGTAGATGGGTGGATGGATGGATGGATGGATGGGTAGATGGGTGGATGGATGGATGAACAGATATGAATAGTAGGGGTAAAGGTTACCAGTCTTTGTACCTTACGAATGCTGCCTGGATGGCTAAGTTAATTTCCATAGTCATGTTTTGTCTGAATAGTTTGTACAAAGTTCCTAAAACCTAAATTCTCTCGGAGAACTTGTTGGTTTCCAGGCTGGTCACTCATGAGAGCACATGTGCCCAGAGATGGGGAGATTCAGCATCCTCTATGCCCAGACCACCACCTTCCTGCCTTACGACACACACGTTCTGTGAGCTGCTCCAGAAAGTTCAGGAAAGCTGAGTGGGACTGTGGGGCTCCGGTGCCGAGCTGGTCTGTCAGCCAGCTTCGCGGCCGGCACAAGAGTGGGCTTAGGCCTTGACTTGTGAGTGCGGATGCAGAGAGGAAGCATCAGAACTGAAGACTGTAAGGCATCAACCAGTTGGTGTCTGCTGGAGACCCACCTGGCAGGCACAGAAGTGCTCTGTGCTAAGGGTAGATGCCAAAGTCCCCTTGCCTTGTTGACTTACAGGGCAATAGAATTAGGCGCTGACTGTCAGCAGCTGCATTAACCAGTGGCTAGACTTCTTCACTCTAAGCCTGACCCTGCGTCAGGGGGGAGGCGTCTCAGCCCATCTCTGGGCTGTGGATTCTGTCTGAAGGTCCCCTGCCAGGGTGACTGTCTGCAGCTGAGGTGGGCCTGCCTGTGACCCTGAGCCCACCTGTGAGCATGCTGCTCACCTAGCCCTTGTGTCTCTGTTGCTTGTGGCAGATGAGAAATACTCCAGAGTCACAGACTGCTTCTAAGGCCAACTTCTCAACACCAAGCACAACTATCTCCTGCACACCTCACTTCCTCTCTCCACTCTGCATTCTGGAAGTTTCAGACAAAAGCAAAAGAGAAAGAAAGATCCCCTGAGTTGCCAATCCTACCAGCTCCCATGCTAGGCAGGGCTGGCGGAAGACATTTCCGGAGGAAGAGGTAGATATGAAAGGTCCCTATTGTCAACCAGAACCCGTGGGACTTTCCGGAAAGCTTGGGAGCCTGGCAGGGACTCTGACTATTGTATAACATTCCCCAAACGTTCCTCTCACTCCACTCAGACTAGGGTCCAAAGGAAATGTCAGTGATTTCCTGTAGTCATGAGGGCTCACTCGCTGGCAGCTTGCACTGAGCAACAGCACTGGGTGCTGCACCATGTGGGTGCGTAAACCCCTTCCTAGTCCTAGTTTCCAAGACTTGCAAATATTTACTAAGTATCAGACAGGGCCCAACTAGACATGGCAGTCCTGTCAGAGGGAACTTCCCAGTTCTGTCCAGGAGAGCACTCAAGAGGACAGCAGCCCTCACCCTGGAGCAGTGTGCCAGGGCAGGAGCTTTGCATCGAGTGGCCAGACTCTGTCTCCTGACTCTGCTTCAAACAGTGCAGCTAGGCATGGTGGCCCACACCATTAGTCTCAGCACTCACAGGGCAGAAGCAGGTAGATCTCTGCCTAGTCTGTTCTCAGAGTCTTAATAAGCAAACCAACATTCCCAGAAGCTGAGGGAAAAGGAAACTCAAGGTATCAGAGGGTAACTGGCCCGCTCGGTTTGATGTTCAGATAGAGGCGCATCTTTTACAGTAATTGACAACAGCTTCATTGATGACTATAAAGAAGATACCAAGCCTCTGCTTCTGTATCAACATGCTGGTGAGACACACAGAAAAAGGAAACAGAAAAAGCCTGCAAGCTTTCACCTAATGAAGGGGATCAAAGACTAACAAATTCTCAAACATCTAAAACCAAAGGCCAGAACTCCCAATCCACCCAAACCTGAGCTCCCTTGCAGTGTGCAAGGGAGTGGAGTAGGGTGGGTGTGGGGCATGACATCCAGCACTGCTGTGAGTCAGACTTGTAAGAGATGGGATGGTAAGTGAGCCTGCGTGCTCCCTATGTGCTCACCTTGCTCTTGATCTGCTTGGCCGTGTCAGTGAGGAAGATGGAGGAGTTGGGGTCACTGGCACTCATCTTGGTCTGAGCACCCTGCAGGGCAGGGAAGAAGGTCGAGTGTAGCAGGGCAGGTTTTGGATGGCCGATCCTGGGGGCCACGTCCCTCGTCATTCTGAAGTACGGATCCTGGGGGAAAAGGTGTGGGTGAAGACGATGGAACACTTGGCCAGGCTCTGGTCCATGGGCAACCCTAAAGGAGGAGTCACCCTCACGGGAGGCTGTGAAGCTCACAGCCAGTTTCAAACTGGCTCTTCCTCTTTCAACACCCTCTCCAACACCTCTGCCCTGTCTAGGAGTCTGAAACCACAGGCAGCCCAGCTCTGCATCCTGACCTGGTCAATGCCACATGGGATGAGGCACTGGACATCTGTCCGGTCTCGGAAGATCTTCGGGAAGGAGCTGCTGAATGACGGTGCGGCCTGAACAGCAGGAAAACTGATCTTCCCTGAAAGAAGGGAGATACTCTTACGTGTTGGGCTGACCCACTGCTCTGGGCAATTAATCCAGTTAAAGGAATCAACAATGGGTTTCCTACTCACTAAAAAAAAAAAAAAAACTAAGGAAAGTCAAAAAACACAGAAAGGGAGAGAGTAAGTTGGGCCCTCCCCAGGTCCCATCAATTTCTTCATGGCAACTGTCAGTGTGCTCAGCAGTGCCTACACCATGCACTGCTGTGTAACATTCTCCGTCAACGTATCTGGCTGTCATGGCCACCAGTGACACCACAGTGGCCATTCCCAGGAGCTTGCTACTCTGCACAACTCCATAGCAAGGCACCTCCTTCCATCTCACCAACATGGGAATCCAGGCGTTTGTGTGGCCTGTCACAGTACACTGCTCGGGAGGCGCTGAGTGAGGACTGAACACGGTGCCATGGCAGGCAGGGCAGTGACTCTCACAAGACGCCACTCCTGGACTTCAACTTCAACTGTGACATCACCCTGATGCCGGGACTCCAGTGTCACGTATGTCTCAAAAGCATCAGGACCATGCTCCAGTTGCTGGGAATGAATCTGACTGAACCATCCAAGAGGAGGTGAGGGGACAGTAGCGGCAAGCACAGAGCACAGAGGCCCTCTCACAAGTCTCAGAGATGATGGCCTACAAAGGCCAATACATTGAATGACAGAGACGTGTAGAGGACATAACCATGGTATACAGTCGGCAAGTCAGTGGGTGGGTGGGGGTAAACCATGGGAGGAGAGGGGTGGGAGGGGACTGCAGTTAGTCAAAATCCTTATCTACCTACCTACCTACGTACCTACCTACCTACCAACCAACCAAGATAACTAGCTTGGAACTCACTCTATAGATCAGACTGGCCTCAAAATCAAAGATCTGCCTGCTTGGCCTTTGGGTGCTGGGATTAAAAGAGTGCACTACCATATCCAGCTAAAAATTCTTAGAACTGGGGAAACTGGGGTCCAGTGAACACTCCACGAGAGAGCAGGAGATCCACCTGTCCTCCTGTAACTCTCCTGGGTCCTTTAAGCCCTATAATGATTGGGGTCATATCAGCATGTTGGAGAACTCAGTCATTCTTATGTCTGTCTGTCTGAGTCTGGTGGAACACCTACCTCTGAGTGCTTTATATGAAGTGATAACATCTCAGGTCTCCGAGTAGGTGCTTTAAAGACCAGATTCTTGGGCTGGGCACGAGGCTCAGTGGTAGCATTTGCTCCATGTATGAATCTATCTCTTGGAGTGCATACATGTATGTACACACCAGGCATGTTAGCTCATTAGCTCAGGCTTTGGTGGTGCTGCACTGTGCTGGCTAGCTTCCTCTGAGTGCCGCCTGTTACACTGAGAGGGCTCCCCAAGCAATCGGTCCCCTTACCAATGCAGTCGCTGTCAGTGAAGCCGAAAATGCCTTTCACCTGGTTGAAAGTGACATGCTTCTGAATCTTCACCACATTCTTGTAGAAACCTGGGCTCTGCCTGCAGAGACAACAAGAGTCACACCTGAGATGGAAGACAGCAGGACCAAAATTGGGTATCAGTGACGTGTGGTCCCAGAAACACTGGGTATCACATGTGCTCGGTCCATGTATAACAGGGATGAATGGAGAGACCATCTGAAGAAGTCATCAGGGAGAGAGCCTACAACTACAGCAGCCACACCTCCAGCCAGTGCTGGAAGACCTGTGAAAGGGTTGGAACAGAGGTGGGTGCAGAGGGCACTCTGACAGGGAATGTCCACATCTTGGTGGGCCAGGGCTCAGCATGCTGTGTGGGTTTCATGGGAGAAGCTCCACAACTGTTTGAGGACATGACAGTGTGGTGAGACACACGTGTCCGGCTGGAATGCTCTGGAACCAACGGGTGCAGCAAAGGGTTTGCCCTGTGCAGATGCTCCTCCAGCATCTGGTACCACTCTCCACTACTGCAGTGGTTCTCTGTCCTTACGGTAGGGATGGCATCATACCCAGCAACAGGAATGGACCATACTAGCTGGTTTGAGTGAAAGGACTTTTCTGGACGGTGAAGGTCATAAGATGATGCTTATGTGGCAGCCATTCTGATACAAGAGGGACAGCAGGCTCAACACGGCACAGAAAGTAGCAGAATTCAGAGTGGCTGCTTCTTAAGTTTTATTTGTGAGTGCCCTGCCTGCATGTCCAAATGTGCGCCGTGTGCATGCTCAGTGGTCACAGAGTCCAGAAGCCTCTGAGACATGTCCTCAGTCCCCACCTCCAGCGGCTTCTCACACTGGACTTGTTGACAGCATTCCTTTCTTTAGCCTGGCCCTTTGCTAGGCACTGGAAGGACAGAAAGGGGGGGAAGTGTGGACTGAATGCAGGGTCTGACTGGAGTTATGCTAGAGGCCAATGAAGTGGAAGCTTAAGGTTTCTTTGGAAAGTAGGTTGGATGCTGTTTTGCTGGGGCAAAATGTGAAGGAACGCTTTGAAGCAGACATAGGAGAGAGGATGTTCTGCTAAAGCAAGCATGTGAAAGGACACATGATGAAGGACTCTTTGTTAATGACATGCATGTATTGGTCTGCCTTACACTGTGTAGTTGATCCTCATTTGTCGGATTCTGTAGAGAGAAATGCACTAAAAACTTCTGGTAGTGTGCTATGGTTTCTAGACACCACCGAGGACTCAGGCTTGTTGGATGCACATGCTGAGGAAAACCACGTGGAGGACATGTGATGTTTGGAGGGAATAAATGGGACTCCACAGAGTGATGGGGACAGAGCGTGGCTTGCTGGTACAGCTAGATTCACTGATCTTTGCTTTCCTGAGAGAGGCACAGCTGAGAATTTCTCCTGGTGTTCTTGCGGGCTGAGGCCTGGCTGTCTCTGCTCGGTCAGCTCACCTCTGTTGCTACCCTGATTCTACTGAAGTGTCTTGCTGGTGTATCCGTGAAGTGTTCGTGGTTGCATCAAGCTGTCACTGCTGACCTGTGAACTGAACTGCCAGTTTCCAGACAACACAGACTGAAGTTGCTCCAAAGAACCTTTCTAAACAGGTCCACTTCCCCCGTATCTTTTCCACTACTTCTGGTGGATGGTGGGCAACAAGGGAGGTTGAAACGTTTAAGAACCATCACTAAAAATAGTATTTGATAAAACTAAAGTTACAGGCCAAACTCAACGTGGAATTTAAGTACCACTGTAACGGCAGTGGGGGCAGGTTAAAGATTGCATCTGTGAATAGATTAAGGCTGCTGTGATGGAATGGCTTGACCTTCCTCCCTTTTCTCTCTTCTTCAAGGATTGGCTTGCCTTTCTATCTTCAGCTAGGGCTGACTCAGGACAAAGGCCCTTGTGAGATGCCAGTACTATGCTTCTGGACTGAGCACTGGGCAAAATAAATGTCTGTATCAGGATTAGAGGGATGGAACAGTGGTTAAAAGCACTGGCTGCTTTTCCAGAGGACATGGGTTTGTCCCCAGCACCCATGTGGTGGCTCACAGACATATGTAATTCTAGATCCAGGATATCTGAAGCCACCTTCTGGTATCTGTGAGCACTCCATGCATGTGGTACACAGACACGCACACAGCCTGTGGTACACAGACACGCACACAGCCTGTGGCTCCCATGTTTGCATGCTCAGTTCTCAGTTGGTGAACTGTGTGAGGACTGGAAGGTGTGGCCATGAGGACATCTGTCACTGCAGGTGGGCTTTGAGGTTTCAAAAGGCCATGGCAGCCCCAGTGCTTCTCTGCTGGCTGCCTGTGCATCAGCATGTAAAGCTCCCAGCTGCTGCTCCAAGGCCATGTGTTCTGCCGCACTCCCTGCCTCGGTGATAATGGAAAGAACTGTCTGCTCATGGTGTCTCTTTACAGCGACAGAAACCCTAAGACATAGGCAAAACACTCATACACATGAAATAAAATTCTCATCAATTACGAGTGTGTGGTACTCTGTTATGGTGGCAGAAAAGTGACCAAGGCCCAGTGACAGGCACAATCCCCCTTGAGATGTATGGTCTTGGTTTCTCAAATGAAGGCTGAAGCTTGAGGCTCCAGGTCATGGTCACAGGCCCTGTGCATACAGAAGCTGAAATCCAACCAGGTCCACCTAGCCTCAAAGCCTGGCCCTTTTCTTTTCTTCTCTTTCATCACGCCATAGGTCTGGCACAGCCTAGAGGGAGTGTGATGAAATGCTCCTGAGTATCTCTGGGGAGACGGGAGCTAGGGCTGGGCGAGCAGGGCATGCTAGTCCATATGGGCACAGGGTGAGCAGTGGGTACTCTCCGGAGCTTCTACTTAGTAGCCAGCAAAGGCTCAGGGCCTGGGGAGCAGGGTGAGGGCAGTGTAGAAGGATCCCCACATGTAGTCATGCAAACAACAGAACCATGCAGCACCACAACCTTCGGGAAGACACAGTCTGTCTGCTGCTAAGACTGAACCAGTGTGTGCAGAAGGGTCTTCTGGGAAGCAGCCGCTATGTGCCACTGAGGAGGCTGGCAGAGGTGTCAAGCATGCTGGGGATCAAGATGACTGCACATGGGTCACCTGCAAACTGACCTCCTAGCCAGACTCTGCAGCACAAGACATTCCCTAGTCAGAGCAGAATGGAGCCCACAGTCTTTCCAGTGGGGACAGCCCCCACATGACTGTTACACTGCCTGACACTGCACACGAACAAGAGGCATACTTGACTGTGTCCCACAAGTGAACAAAGGCCCCAGGGAAGGATCTTCCTTCCACACATGGGCTGCAGACACAGTAGACAGTATAGAAGGCGACACTGCCTGGGCCCACTAGGTCCCGCCATGGCTTGCAGAGCATCGACTCAGAAAGTACCCCAGGCCTGGCAGCATGGACCATTATCTCTAACCCTCTTTACTTCCACCTTTTCCTGATCTCCCAACACCGGGAACTCACTGTCAGCTAATTACCTGTTAACTGACTAGCCCTTTAGAAGAGAGGGTTACTAGTCAGACACTTGCCTAACACTCATAAGGCTTGCAGCTCCACTTCCAGCAAAGAAAAAGCAAACCTTTAGATACTGTTGCCTAGTGGTTGGCTGACTATTTCACTGCTTGCTGTAATCAGCACTTACCTGCCTATAACAGACGCTTAATAAACTACCTGTGGACTAGAGGAGCAGAAGGAGTAAGAAGGAAGGGCCTCGTGTGCTCAGGCTGCCCGTGGAAGCAGTCGGGATCGCAGAGTCCAGCCCCTTAGGAAGCTCTCTCTTACGACACGTCTCGCCAGGGCTACACCCTCCACAACACAGAGGTTGGGAGATAGAGAGACTTGCCCAGGAGAATGAGACCAAGCTGAGCAGAGCTGGGCAGGACCACTGGAAGGAAGGTCCTCTCTGAAGTGTGAGCAGGAGGCAGGGGAGGACAACAGACTGCTGCTTCCTTCCTTTCCAAGAAGAGCAGAGCCTGGCTTTCTTGTATCTGTCTCTCCAAAGGACCAGGAGGCTTGTTAGAGCACAGATAAGATTCTTGACTAGATGTAAGCCAGGAGTAAATGCTTACATGTGTTTAAGGAAATTCTTGCTGGATGTAGTGACACATGATCATAACTATAGCCCAAGGCCAGGGCAACATACTGAGACCTCCTCTCAAGAAAAAAACAAAGAGAAGAAATTCTTACCAGGAAGGACATGTTTTCTAATATTCAACTTTACCCCATACTACTAAAGCGAGACAAAGTTCTCACTGGGCCTAGGTGAGCAGCTGAGACCACCAGAGACACACAATGCCATGCTCGGAATGGGCTGAAAGGAGCCTGTAGCCCGCTCCCCCCCTCCCTTTACTCATTACCTGCATAATCTTATTCATGGACTTGCTATAGAATTTGTTCCAATTTGGACACTGTGCTGGTTAGTTTTGTGTCAACTTAGCACAAACTAGAGTTGTCTGAAAGGAAGGAACTTCTAATCAGAAAGTGCATCCATAAGCTCCAGCTGTAAGGTATTTTCTTAATTACTGACTGAAGGGGTCCAGTCCACTGAGGTGGTGGTGCATCCCTGGCTGGGGTCCTGGGATAAGACAGCAGGCTGAGCAAGCCATGAGGAACAAGCCAGTAAGCAGCACCCCTTCATGGCCTCTGCGTCAGCTCCTGCTTCAGATTCCTGTCCTGTTTGAGTTCCTCATGTGACTTCCTTCAGTGACCATCTACAACATAGAAATACAAGCCAACTAACCCTTTCCTCCCCAGCTTGCCTTTGGTCCTGGTGTTTCATCACAGCAACAGAAACCCTGACTAATACACCCACTGACATTTAAGTCCAGGAAGGGCATACCTGTAAACTGTCCATCAAATTGGAGAAGGCAGTGCTGCTGAAGGGAACACAGGGCCTAAACCACAAGAGTTTGTGTGCTAAGAGCAAAGTGAGTTCTTCCTGTCCCATGCTGGGGCACCAGGCAAGGCAGGAGTGTGGAAGACAGGGACAGGAGGGCTCTAGTGGTTAAGCATGCTGCACAGAGCAGAAGCCGCGTGTGAGACAAAGTTCTCCCTGCCTCCGCCACCTGGGAGGCCAGAGGAAGAGGTTCACTTGTGCACGAGTTCAAGGCTAGGGTAAACAACACATGGAGAGCCTCACAAATGAAAGCTACAGTCACTGTATGCTGTCAGCAGCCTGCCTGTGAGGGAGAGTGGAGCCTGTGGTGTGTCCGTGTTGAGACCGAGCACTTTCATCAGCTATTCTGAGGAACAAGAGAAGGCTGGCACACGGGGGACAAGTCTGGTGACTATGTTACCACAGACCACTGAAGACCTGTGTTACCACAGATCACTGAAGATCTGTGGTCAGATTTTCATCTTAGATCCACTTAAATTCCTCACAGGACTGCAGAGTCTCCATGTTCACATGGAGTAATTAAACAGTCTGACAGGAAAAAATTAAAAATTCATCTCTGTGTGTTGGAGATGGCAAATAAAAGGGCTTGGCTATTACAAGTGCTGCCACCGAGCCTGATCTGAATTTGATTCCTAGGACCCACATTGCAGGAGAGAACTGTCCTGTAAGATGTCCTCTAACCTACCTACCTACACACACATCCTTCTCAACAAATAGGTTAACATGTAATTCAAATATATATATATTTTTGAGACAGTGTCTCATTATTAGACTAGGCTGGCCTCAAACCCAGAGAGATCCTTCTGTCTTTCTGTCCCTAGTGCTAGGAGTAACAACATGAGCTACCCCACCCAGAGTAACAAAAATAGTTTAAAACATTTTAATGATTTTCCTAGCTGGAATAAAGATCAGATTTCTTGTGGGGCATTTGTTGCTTCCAGTAGATACAGACTTCCCACTTGGCTTCAAGTATTTATAAAGGCAGCCTGGGGAAGCAGTAGCATCCAGACTCCTCTGTGCCTCTAGGGCCCTTGTGTGCCTCCTCACACCTGCCTTGGCCTAATCACTGGCTGTAACATTACACAATGGCCCCAAGCTCAAAGCCCATCCAACCCGCTGAATCAACTCCCTTGAGAGAAGGCCCACAGCCTCAAGTGCTCAAGACTCGATGCCTCCCAAGTCCCACCATGGTGGGGAACACACATAGGGCCTCACACATAATAGGTAAATGTTCTACCACTGAGTCACACCTTAGCACATAAGAAATGTTTGTGGAGTTAAAGACTATTCACTATAATACTTTATGTTTGAGACAGGGTCTGACTATGTAGCCAACTGTATCAGTAGCCTGAGTGGGATTAGAGGTACGTATAAGGGTTTAATCTCACTCTTAGGATAGCTGACTAATAACACCCCCTCTTTGTTTCTTTTCACAGGGTCTTGCTATGTAGCCCTTGGATAGTCTAGCCCTCTCGACTCTGCTGTCTCAGGACCCCGGGGAATGGGACTGACTGCAGGTGCACACCGACACACCTGCTTCCGAGTCTGACTGTACCTGTAATGACTGTCATGACTGGGGATGAAGTGCGCGGATGAGGTGTGCAGACTCAGACATGGCCACCTTAAGGAATGGGACTGTGCAGAGGTTCTCTAACAAGCGCCACTGCCCTCTCTGAGGAAAAGGTCCCATTGAAAGCAATAAGGCTACCAAACTCTCAGACTTGCCGTCCTTGGACACTACAGTGCAAAATCCTTCACTGTGACAGCCGAGGTGACACCATGACAACGTGGCTTCATGTTTATGAGTTCTGTAGACTTAGTTAAGAAGGCAATAGTAGTTTTTCACATTAACTCTTTCCATGAACAAACACAGCATTTCATCTCCCAAAATTACTGCTAAATAAAACCAACAGTCCAGGTCATAAGAGAAGAAAAACCAGGCCATAACCCATGTCCAGCATTTCAGGTTGGTCATGAGGTCAGCACCCACTTGCTCAGAAGGCAGACAAATGTTCCACCTTACCCCATATACTCAAGATCAGAGAAGATGAAAGTTTTGTTGATGTCAAAGCCACAGGCAATGATGTCCTTGGCGTTTTCCACGGTGTAACTGTATGCCTGTTCCAGAGTCAAGTCCTTCCACAGGTACTTCTCATCGTCAGACATCTGGATGACCAAAGGCACATCGAACACGTCCTGCAGCCACCTACAAAACACACGAGTTACTGCATGCTGAACACACCCTGCAGCCAGTCCCTGGACACTGAGGATGGACACCCCAGGAAGAATGCCACTTTGCATCAGAATGCCAAAACGTCAGGCTTGGACTACCCTGGCCTACTATGCAAGGATAAGGAGCAGGAAGAGGAGCGGAGGAGCAGGTCTGTGATCCCTGGTGGTGTGATCCCCGTCACACCTGGCTCTTGCAGAGTGAGCCCGGGCAAACCCCAAGAACAGAGACCACAGACAGCAAGGCCTAGTTCTGGCAGCTCAGCTTCACGAGGCCAAGTCACAGGAGCAATCCTTACTTTGTGAAAATAAACGGAATGAGATGACCCAGATGCAATGCTTCGGAGGAGGGGCCCCTGCCCGTGTACAGGTAAAACGGCTTCTTATTTTCATAGGCATCCAGGATTTGATTCATATCTCTAAAGGAAAAGAGAAAACAAATAAACCCCGATTTTTCTGGCAGTGAAAAGTGAGCAGAGAAGACACAGGCGATGACCACAGTTTGATCTCCCTGGGGCGGGAAGTACAATGACACAACTAACTCTGCAATGGCTTCTGTGAATAACTGTTATTGGAAGCCAAGACATACAAGTTAGGAATAATAACTCTCTAACAATAGGAATACTATCTGAGCCGCATGGGACAGCCCATGCCTTTAATCCCCGTGCTCAGGAGGCAGAAGTAGGTGGATCTCTGAGTTCTGAAGACAGCCTGGTCTACACAGCGAGCTCCAGGACACTCAGTGCCACACAGTGATGACTCTGTCTCCAAACAAACATTGTGAAAGATGAGGATGAATATGCCAAGTGTCCACTGGTACTTTCTGGAGTGCCTCCAGTGATCAAAGAAATACACTCTGTGCTTTCCACACCCCTTGGCGATGGGAGACTCAGTCAGCACCACACACTCCTCCCTTTAGAACCAACCAGTCTTGGGGTTGTAGAGACCAAGCCTAAGGGTATCTCAGGGTTCCACACTGCCTTGCATGGGGAGGACAGGAAAGTAGGTCCAGGCAGTTCAGGATGAAGTCCCCGGCTGAAGAGCTGACCTGGGTGCCAGCTCTTTCACTGAGAATAATTTGAGAGTCATCCTTCCTCCCTAAGGAGGGGGACGCTGTCAGTACCACGGAGGCTCCTCCTTGCTAGCTGAAATCAGCATTAGCTTGTAGTCCTGCTTCTGCCTGCAGATGCTGAGATAGGAGGTAGTATCCAGGACTGGTGTGTGTGTGTGTGTTGTGTATGTAGTGTGGTTGTGTGGTGTGTGTATGTGGTGTGTGTGGTGTGTGTGTG